CATAAAGGACCCTGAAGAACTTGGTATCATCTTCCCCAGACCTTGGTCTTCATATAAAATTTTACCTTGTGTTTACATGGTCTCATCAAATCAGTCTGCACACTTTGGTTGCCAAATCTATGTGATGACAATGATCTGATCGTCGCAGAAAGTGAATGTAGACCAATCGATCATGCGCCCCACCCCACCAAATGCCTGGAACTGAGGAGAATATACACTGGCCCGCCTGAACCCTCCAGCTACGTTGACAGTATTTAGAGTTTAGATCAAATGACACTGCATAGCTTTAATAAACAATTAGTTCAATGTGTTTGATGTATAATTTAATGACAGCGTGGGACGAGTGAATGGGACATGTAAGGTATATTTTTTCTCATTGTACTTCGACATAATTAAAACCTGTTAACCATCAACTCTCCCCTTCTGAAAAGAAAATCTTAAAATATTCCAAGTTGTTTTTGAGTATGCATAAAATAAAACCTCTGTGGAAATTTATTGACAAGTTAGGAAGTAAACTTAGAGTATTATCGTACTGCAATTCCTAGAATTTCTTCCCCATGTTTGACACACGGGCTCTTTCTGAAGGTTGCTCCTATTGGAGGTTTGTGAATCCCTACGTGGGGGTGAGTTTGATTCAGTTTTTAGCTAGCATCATAGTACTCTTGTCTCTCCTTGCTTTAGAAAAGTAGGAGAGGGACAAAAGTTTTAGCAAATACAGGATCTTTAAAAAAAATCATCCTAGCTGGGCATGGTGGTGCACGCCTGTAATCCCAGCACTCCGGAGGCTGAGGCAGAAGAACTGCTGCAAGTTAGAGGCCAGCCTGGGCTACAAGTGAGTTGAAGGCCAGCCTGAGCGACACAGGGAGAACTTGTCTCAAAAAAAAAAAAAAAAAATCCTAGAGAAAGTAGGTGATAGGTAAATGGAAACGTTTTGTACCATCTTTGCAATGTTTTTGTGAATCAAAAATAGTTACTCCAACCGAAGACATTTATTTTTCTAAACACAATATAAAAGTAAGTGTAGTAGACTAAAAAACATCTTTCTCAAAGATACTTACACCCTAAACCTTGGAACCTGTAGCCGTTACTTTACTGGGGGGTGGGGAGGAAGGCTAAGAAGGTGACTACGTCAGCTCTGTGAAGGCATCAGCTGGTAGGTAGAACCCTCCCTTGGCTCTGCGGCTGTGCAGTTGCCCAGGCAAGTCTCGCGGGTGGGTTTTAGGGGAAGGGAGGGAGACCCAGAGATGGTTGTCTGGGCAGCCCTAGGAAGCGGGAGAGGGATTTTGCACACGGAGCGCGGAGGAGCTGACGCGAAGAGGGAGCAAGGCTACTTTGAAAGGCGACCTTAAAGATTCCAGTGAGAAGACTGCAGGCCTGCAGCTCGGACCCTGTGTGGGCGTCCCCAGGAAATGTGGCTTTCTGACACCTGAATTCTTACCCAATTCTGGCCTCCAAAGCTGGGAGAGGAAACCTATTTTAAGCCACACGATTTTTGGTGATTTGTCACAGCAGCCAATGGAAACTTATAAAATTAGCAAATAAGATTTTAAAAGTTAGCCACAGAGGGAGAAACAGAGTCAATATACATTGGAAAGATGTTCAATGTAACAATGGGAATTACTCAAACAAAACAATTGGTTAACTTGTCTGTCATATCACAGAATTAAAAAGACTGAGGCTTTGAAAATTTTTTCTACTGCAAATTTTCACTGAAGAAATTAAAGCGCTCAATTAACTATCATTGTACAAACTAATGCATCTTGTTTTTTCCAGAAGATACAGATATTTTTAAAATAAAACTGCCATGAGCCAGGGATATACTTCAGTGGCACAAGCACCTACCTGGCAAGTGCAAGGTCCTGAGTTTGAGTCCCAGTACCAATAAATAAATAAATAAAACTGCCAGGTGTTGAGGTGCACACCTATAATCCCAGTATTTAGGAGGCTGAGGCAGGAGGATTGCCAAAAGTTCAAGGACAGCCTGGGCTACATAGCAAGATCCTGTCTCAGAAAGAAACCAAAACAAACTAACAAAAAGCAAATGACAAATAAAAATAAAACTAAGGGGTAAATAAATAATGAACATGAGTTAGCAACTATTGAGTGCTTTATACATTGTGTATTACATAAAGTTTCAAATATATACAAAGTAGGGAATTATAATCAATCATATTTTACTCATGCCCTTTGCTGTATTTTCCAAACAAGGTTATTAGGTAAAATGCAGACATCATGTAATATTTCAATATGTATCTTGGTCTATAGAGATTCATATCTGTATATATGTTCATGTATATAATTATATATATATTTATATGCTATATAAACCATTTCACATATATATGTATAGATTGTTGGTTTTGATGTTTTGATGAATTCTCTTTTCCTCTATCTTTATATTTTTCTGAACAAAGCCTTTCATGCCAGAAAGTTTTGAGAAGTAAAAGACTTTCAATGAGGATCAAAAGATTCAAAAGTCTGATGTCCTTGTCCCACACGGAGAGGGCACGGGGGAATGTTCCAGTGTGGGGAAGAGTGTGTGCTCCTACCCTGGATCTCGAACGTCCATCTGCCAGTGTCCTTATCTTTGATCTCTCCTCTCCCACTTTGCTACTCTCCTAAACATATGTAAGATGCTTCTAGCGCTCCTTGCCCAAAACAAAAACGACTTCTGACTCTGTGCTTCTTCCAACCACTGTTCTCTTTTCTTCCCCACTCATCCGAACTTCTTGAAAGAAAAGACCACATTTGTCTTCACCTTTTCACTTCCTGTTTACTTTGTAGCCCTTTGCAATTGGAGCAAAAACATGTTCCTGAATCCACTCTCCCTGACCAGCTTTCATAAGACGAAAGGATCCTGAGAGCAGATCCCGCCCCTGGCCCCCAGCTCCGGGGCCCAGCTCCGGGCAGTTAGGACTCCTGGGTGGACTGAGGGGAACAGGGACTAGCTCAGCACTCCCTTCCCACCGTCTTTCATTGTCCCCCTCTTGCTGGTCCAATCTGCCCCTGCAAGATTTTAGATGAACTAAGGCTGAAATGAGGTTAAAAAACACAGGCCTTGTTCATTGCTCCTCCCGTCTGCAAGATACTATCTGGAGATGAGCATTTCTTCCCAGCTGTCTTTATGACTGATATGCAGTTGATCCTTTCGATCTCTGGTGATTCCAAAAATTAGCAGGACTCTGTATGCTATATTTATTAATACCACAGGCATGGACAGAGCCTGGGTTTCCTAAAAGTCATTTAAACATTCACGAAGGGCTAAGTTCTTAGCATGGCTAACTCTTCAAACTCTCACGGGGAAGCAAAAGAGCAAATAAAACAATAAAAAAGTTTAGGTCATTCTAAAAATAATGTATTTTTTACTTAAATAAACTATAACTGGTCTAGTCTACTCTGAATGCAAAATTCTTAAGTTACAAAGGGAATAGATTAGAAAATAGAAAAATGTTGCTAAAGAATTGGATGATAATGAACATAAGAAGTCAGTGTTTTCTCCAGTCAGCAAAAGACTATTCCAAGTGGGAGAAAATGAAGAGATAAATCTCTGAATGTTAATTTTTTACAAACCCCCAAACAATAAATAAGCACATAAGTAAACCTTTGACTGTTTTCAACCAAGAATGACAAAGCAGAAGTCTTCATAAGTACCAGCTTTAGGAGTTAATATATGTATGTGTGTGTGTGTGTGTGTGTGTGTGTGTGTGTGTATGGACATAATTACTGATCCATGATCTTTACAATGAGTTACAATTTTCTTTCTGAGTCAGATGACTATGTACTCATACCTGGGGTAAAAAGACAAGGGAAATGAGAAGAAATAAGAAAGAGTTCAATTACTCCCTTCAGGACAATCCAGGAGGTCCAGAGTCATGTCTCAGTGAGGCCCTGAGTCCTACCTTTCTTGCCAGTGGTAACAGCCTGACCCATCAGTGAACGGTTGAGTGAAGAAATTACAATTTTATGTTCCTGCCGAAAGCTGTCGGTCACAGGAGAGATGGTGAGGGCCGGAAATGAAGCAGAGAAGGTAGGAAGTGGGCTTCAGAAACAGCTCTGCTTAGTGGGGGTGTGATGTTGGCTCCTGTGAAAATGCGGTGTCAGCCAGGGTAGCCTGTTCTGGAAAATACAGATGAGAGGATCAGGAAAGGAAGGGGATGAGGTGGAAGCTGGAGGAGAGCACGGGGCGAGGTGAGTTTTACATGTGTGTTCAAAGGGAAGAAGGAGCAGACAGGAGGGAGAAGGTAAAGAAGAGAGCGTTCCTGAGGAGCCAGAGGTGGGCCACACAATCACACTGGCTTGGAGGCCACAGGCTTGGCCTGACAGACCCGAGGAGAGGGAAGAGGCCCTCGCGCTGGGCCTGCCTTTGGCGCTTGTCCATCCCAGGCCGAGCTGGATTTGCTCTCCGGATCCCACTTTTATCATCTCTGAAATAAAAGGGCAGAATATAGGTAGTTTCTTAAAATAAAAAAGTAACTGAGAGGAAAGGAATTAGCACACATCACAGAAAGACACACGAGGCACCGTGACAGTGCACTTGAGGGGTCTTTGGGAGCCGCTCTAGGTGAGCTCGCAATTTCCAGCCTAGAGAGAACTGCAGACCCAACCCGTGCTGGTGGCCCCATTGTTGGATTCATCATTTTCCTTTGCGCTCTGCCTTGGCTGAGCTAGCCATTTTGGGAACTCTGTTTTCTAAGCCAGAAAAAACAAGCTGAGTCATGCTATTGGTCCTTTTGTATCAACAGTCAGCAGTCAGCAAGTTAATAAAGTCTCAAAGATTAGTATCAGTATGCAAGGCAAAAATTCTCACAAAACAATTAATTAAAAGCACTAAAACAAATGCCTGGCTAAGGATGGAATTGGATCCAGGGGGCAAAATGGGTTAAAAATTTTTTTTTTCTGAAGGAATGCTCTAATTGAAAACCCAGCAGCGGCCGGAAGACACAGTATAGTTAAAACAGTATCTTATCAGAAAATTAGCAAAATGTAATTTTTATTGGGTTTTACAGATGTTATTTTTAACCACATCAAAAATCCCACCTCGTGGCTATTGGCACAAATTGTCATAATTACTGTAATTTGAAGTCTAGGCGAGGGACTGGCTGTGGAGATAGTTATCTCATCCTCAGGCGAAGTCTGCATTAGTTGAACAGCCAGAAGAAGGAGCCCGTGTTTTTGTACTTGGTCTGGACTTCATTTGTGTCTTTTATCCAATCTCATCCTCAGGAATATTGAAGAATAATTTTTTTCTACCTGAAACACTGAAGAAAATCAGGAGGTTAATATTAAGAGTGCTGGGGTCACCTTTAATTAACATACCAATCACCTCACCTCCAATCTGTGAGCGAAGTGTTGTATTTTGTTCTATTTTTACATTTGCAAGTGAACTCTCTCATTTTTAATGCATATACTAAATTCTAGCATAATACATTCAACTACCTACATATGCATAGCTGATGATGTCAGGCTAAGAAAAGGCGCTTTTAATAGCCCTGCTATCCAGCTTAGCACATTTCTCTTGCCACTGTGGGAGTTAAAGGTGTGACTGAACACTTCCACATTATAGCAAGCTGTTATCAATCAGAAAATAACATCCAGAAAAGCCTTAAAGGAAATTTTTGTTTGTTTGTTTTTTGGTTTTTTTCCGGTACCAGGAGTTGAACTCACAACCTCGTGCTTGCCAGGCGGGTGCTGTGCCGCTGAGCTAAATCTCCAGCCCCCGAGGAAATTCTTTGGATAACTTGTATCCATAGATTTGCAGCGATGCCAAATATTGAGAGCAAGTTCAGCGGTGTTATAATTTAGATCTGGGGCATGCTTGGGTGGAGGCCTTAGCCAAGGGATTGCAAGACATTCAGCCAGTATGAAGACGCGGGTCCCGATAGGGGAGAAAAAATGGTCAGACTTACAGAAGCACTTGCAAACAACCAAAGCAAAACAAACAGCTATTTGCATGACTGTCCAAGGCAGAATCACATCACTATCACTTTAGGTCATAGAAAATTTTCAAAACGGTTTCTCCCAATCTCTCCGCCACAGTTTGACTAAAGCGTTGCATAAGGAACAGACACGGTGCAATTCAGGAGATACTTTGGACCCCAGGGACAATAATGAACGAGTAGCGCTATTTCTAGAAGAATGACCCAGGCAGAGCTAATCTAGACGACACGGGTAAGAATAAGCACACAATACGACACCATGGAATATACACGTCTTCAAGGAAAGTCAGGCAGAGTCAGGAAATGAAGAGATACGGAAGAGCGGCTGCTGAGTGGGAGAGCCTCCTCGAGTGTATGCTTGACCAGAGGCCCAAAAGAAGAGGGAGGAAACGTCCAGTGGACAGTGGGGAGTGGTGTCCCAGACAGAAGGAACAGCGAATACGTGAAGCGTGAGTGTGAGTGGAGGGAAGGAGGACAGGGTGGGGCAGAAATGGACAGGCTGCACCACACAGGATATAGGGAAGCCACGGCAGGAACCTGAGATCTTGCTGCAAAGTAGACAGTTGCAGGGCCATGGCAGGAACTTGTGAGGGACGGTCCTGGCATGGACCCGCACTGCAAGAGTGAAGAGTGGAGCGTGGCTGCACTCTAACATGCATTGGATGTCGTACCAAAAAGACTTGCTAGTGGACAAAATACAGGGGATGAGAGAAGAAGAGGACTCTCAAGTGACTCCTAGTTCTCTGACCTGAGAAAACGAATGTAATACTCGGCCTTGAATGGACAAGATTTGAAGTATGGGTTTGGGATGCTGGGATGGAAATCAAGAATTACAATTGTGGTGAGCTTCACAGGCAGTGGGATGTGCGATGCCCTCAGGAGTTCAGACAGAGACAACACATTAGGAAATGGATATATGGTCTGGGTCCAAGCTCCAGCCAGAACTATAAACTGAGAAGCTGTTGGCTTATAGATGTCATTTAAAGCCATAGACCGGGTAGACTCATCTAGACAGAATGCAGAAGTGGGGTTGTACAAGCAAGGGAATTCTGGGAAAGTGTAAGAAACCGGCTGGCCACTCAAACTGGACCATAATCTAAACCTGCTAAGTACTTTATTTTATTACTCTTATTTTAGTACTAATTCAGACACTATGTATATGAACATACAGAATGTAATTTTGAGACACTTTCTTTCCACTGAATCTAATAAGTCTGAATCTAATGAAGGTGATCTACAGATTGTATTTTGAGAAATGGTGTCCTTATGTCCATCTTGGAAGGTAACAACAATTAAAGGATAACTTTAGCAGATTTCAGTGTAAGTCCTAAAAACAGAAGTTTAAAAATTAATAGTTTTCCTTTGGTTCAAAGAATAATAAACAAGAAGAGTCACTGAGGTATTTGGATTTTTGTGTTTCTTTCTTTTTGAGACAGGGTTTCACTATGCAGCTCATGCTGGCCTTGAACTCAGTTTGTAGTCCAGGCTAGACTCAAATTTGCAGCAATCCTCTGCCTCAGCCTCCTGAGTGCTGGGATTACAGGCATGCGCTACCATGTGCACGAAGCGAAGTCACTGAAGTTTTGAAAGGATAGACTATGATTGGCCGTGAGTGAAGAATTGCTTTTTTACTGGAAATTGTTCCATAAAGCAGAAGCAAAAATCACTTACAGTGTGTTTAATTATCAAAAGCATATCCTAAACGAGGAGCTGTGAGATAACTAAAGACTATTGAGAGTTTTGGAAGAATTAAAAAAATAAAGAAAGAATCTCATCCTAAGATAATTTAAAGTAAAAATGTTATAGAATTGTTGAAATTACATGTGCAATAGTCTATGTTCCACTTGCAAAGTTAAATTCTATTTCTGATTTTTCCTTTGGACACAAATTTTAAGGGATCATTTGAAACAGACATCAATTATGATAACACCTCTGTGTCCTAGAAAGCAGTCTTCTGGAAACATTAATACTCTAAGAATTCAGAAAAAATTGGGTTTTGTCCGTCATTCAACAAGAAAAAAAGGAAACAGTAAATGAACATGTGAGAAACAAATAGTAATGAAAGTAGCCCAAAACAGGCAACGATTGCTTCAACTAAAGAAAAAAAGGAGCCAGGCATTGTGGCACAGCGTAAGATCCCAGCACCTTGGAGGCTGAGGCAGGATTGCACTGTGTTTAAGGCCAGCATGGGCTACATAGGGAGTGAGTTGAAGGCCAGCCTGAAGTAGATACCAAGACCCTGTCTCAAAGAGAGAGAGAGAGAGAGAGAGAGAGAGAGAGAGAGAGAGAGAGAGAGAGATTGGAAATGTCAGAGAGATAAAGGTCATTTAAAATACAGAGAAGTAAACAGACACCCAGACATTAGAAGTCAGCTCAGGGGATCCCAAAGGACTCCGTTACAGCTCTACAAATCCTCCTCCAAGAGACCAGTCACTCCAGGAATCTGTTAAAAGGAGCACAAATCCTATACAAAATGCACAGACATACATATGGAGGGTTTGAAGCCAGTGCCTTAAAATGCGAAATCCAAGTGATCAAATGTTTCTTTTTAAAAATAAACCTTGTTTAAAGGGAAATATGTGGTGTATTTTCCAATGGCTCGCGGTAGCAGTGAAAATCTCCCCAGTCTGTGTGACGCCCGCGGGCATGAGGCAGGGGGAGCCTCGGGGTGGGGGTGATGAGGGTCCCAGGGCTCAGAGGCTCAGGGGCTGGCACCTGTGTGGGGATGCAAAGGGCATGGCAGCGCAGAGGAAGGACCGCGGGCTCTGACCAGGCTGGCAGTGAGACCAAGGAGGGATTTTCAGAGAAGGCCATGTCGACTTGAGTCTTGGATGATAAATGGTGCTAGGACAAAAACGACTTGAAGATTTGAACTTTAGCTACTTGGAAACAATGCGTTTTTGGAAACACCTCATTTTCCCAATTGCACTAAATGACTGAGACATCTTTTTATATAAATCAATTCAAGTGACCATCTGGCAGCTTTTATAGTCATAGTAAAGTTTAGAAAATAGAATCGTTTTTGAAAATTAATCAAGTTTCTGTCTACATTGAGCAGGTAATCCCCACACTGGAAATGTAAGCTTTTATTCAACATCAGGTAGAATAAAATAGTTTCAGCTTAACACAAAGTGATATGAGAAGAAGTTGGTCTACAGGTTTGCTCTGAGTGGGACACCAGTAGTGGAATAGTCAGGCGACAGAAGGTATACTTCACGTTTGCATTTTTAATTCCTAACAACGACAAGCAAAAATACAGAGAAGCCTAAAGTTTTTCAAGTCATCCAGGCATTCTGCTTTTTATTCTCTTTTATAATTTCTCTTGCCAGTTATCAGTTAAAGAAGATTGGCTGGCTGGCTCATTTTTACTTTTTAATCTGGTTTACACCTGCTCAGAAACAAAACAATACAAAGGAATTTTTGGAAAAAAATGGGACTGATGCATTAGAAGGTGCTATTTAACGTCTTGCAAACATCTCAGAATATTGTAAGCCCCTTTTCCTCATTAAGATGTTCCCAAAACAAAACGAGAGAGAATGAATTTCCTTGCAGAAGCATGAAATATGATAACTAATAAGGACAATTCTAATCATTTTCTGTAGCACACAGCAACCATGAATCATGCATGTAAATAGCTCCAATATATTCATTTAATGTTGTTGATAATTCGCGTGAGCACCAAATTAGAATTGCCTTTATCAGCCGCTGTTGTAAAGCGCTGCAACAGCCTGGAGATACAAAAGGAGCCAATACCTGGGTGAAGGCTACGCCCGACCTGCTGATAATGAAGCAGTGTACAGACTTTTAATTCCGTAAACAAATGGGGTGTTTCTAAGCATCACGCTTCATCAAAAATTTAGCCGAATTCATTAGTAAACACATACTGCGTGTTTGCCTAAGTGCTTTTATTCCCCGCAGGAGCTGAGTACCTTTCCTCACTTCCATCTGTTGGCTATTGCATTGTTCGAATTCTGAATTTCGAGCAAGTCCTACAAAATACACTGGGAGTGACTTCTGTAATGAGTTTACACAGTTCTATCGAGTGCTAAGGTGACTCTGGGGCTTCCTCTCAGCTCTCGTGAGAAAAATCAACAAGATGTTTTAGCTTAGGAAAACGTTCCAAAAAAATGTGTGATCCTGTGGTTCTCTCACTCCGTATGAATTCAGAACAATTCTGAGTGAAGTAACAAGGCTGATGCTGAACGACTTTCTAAGCCTAAAAGATGCAGATGTGTTTTAAACAGTGTAAACTGACAAGAGCGCCCACACCTGGATAGCGCGAGGACCTTTGACCTGTGTTAGGCGCTCAGTCAATGCTTGCGGAATACAGCAAAGCCAGTGGGAAGAAAAATCGAGTGAAACTTAAATGGAGACACAGCTAAATATTCCGAATAGACACTATTTGTTGTTTCTTTGGGGTGAAACACTGTTTTGTAAACTTTCAATTGTAATATATCAGAACTTTAAAATTCATTCCCCTTGTGCTGACCCTGTCTCAGTCCAAGCCGTAGCTGCCTGACTATGATTGAAAATCACATTCGCCTTCCTGTCCTCTTTCTTTCTCTCGCTCTTACCCTTCCACATTTTCCATTCTGTGAGCTGAATAGCTCTTCTAAAACATTTCCTTCTTTCTCCATCCTCAAGATAAAGCCGAAGTGCTCAAGAGTCTTGTGGTATAGCCACAGCCAATCTCTCCAGGCTGCTTTATCCCCGTGACTCAAACTCTGGTGCTTAGTGCTCCAGCCCTATTTAAGTTGGTGCAGTTTTTCTTCCTGCAGTGCTTTTCTCACCCCAGGACCTTTGCACAGGCTGCTTCTCCTGTCTGAAGCAGCTAGGCCCTCCCCACCTTTGCCCCTCTATTCTTTCATCTGTCTTACCCCCACTTGTTCATAAGCTTGCAACTGAGACACTACTCCACGAGCTTTAATTAAATACCTCTGCACCTCACTCAAGACGAGATTAATGTCCCATTCCATGCTTTCTTCAGCTGCTGACTCACATGCTGGCTTATGTGGTATTACTTGCCCTGAGCCTTCACACCTAACATAATGCCTGACACAGAGCAGGCATTCAGTAGATATTCTGTGAACAAATTAGGGCAACCTTCAAAGGCTGAGACATCTTCTTTGATATATATACTGTAAGAATTTACATTATAAATGAGAAGACATTGTAAAGAGATGTATACAGAGGTATAGAGACCTGGATCCTCACCTTGGCTTTGTTATTAGCTCTAAACAATTCTTGTAGAGCCCCTATTGTCTGCAAAATAGTTATACATTCTGCTCTTCCTTTCTTGCTAGAGTCTCCGTAAAATGAACAGGGAGTGAGAAATACAAAGCGCTGTGCACACAAGGTATTCGCATCACCATGATTATTATCACATGCCTCAGTGGCCACCTGGCTGTCACATTCCTGATCAAAAGCCCCGGGACTGCCACCCCCATCACTCGCCCACCCAGCTCTCCCTCCACTTCCACCCTCACCAGAGTTTTCCCAAAGCACAGCTCTGTGGGTTGTTGACCAAAGTTGCAGAGATTTCCATGTTTCAGTTCTTTTTCTCTGCTCAGCAGCTACTCCAGGGAAATTTCTCTTCCCCTAACCTTGGGCCATGTGCTCTGGGTGAAGCCGACTCTGCTCAGGACTCCAGATCTGTGGATTACGAGAAGACATAGGCAATGAACAGGCTGCGTTCTCCAAGCTGGGGGCACGGGCCACAGCTGGCCTTGACCCATGATTCAGACAGGACAGAGGGAAGTCCGGCCTCTGCCGAGAAAACAGGAGTGAAGATGACCATGCTCCTCTCCGGACCAATTGGGCAACAAACAGCCCTAGGAGTTGCCAGCAATCAGCTTGCACCAGTAAGTAAAGCCTCTGATGAAGTCCATGAACTAGACAGCACACAGAACCCTGAAAATACCTTGTTGTTGGGGTCGTGCTTGCCTGCTGATTCATGCTTCACGTGGTCCTAGCGCTCACTGCTCAGCATTAAGCAACAGGCGGGACGTGTTTCTGCATCTTGACACAGAGTGGAGCAGCCCTTTGCTGCTTCTCTCAGAAAAGATTATACAAGGATATTTTTTCCAGGTGTGGTACAGCACACCTGTAATCCTAGCACTTGGGAGACTGAGGCAGAAGGATCGCTCAGAGTTCAAGCCCAGCCTGGGCTACCTAGTGAGTTCAAGTTCTGTCTGAACTACAGAGCTCCTATCTCAACAAAAAAGAGAGAAAGAAAAAGAAAAAGTTAGTTTCTTCCTTAAAATGACGCTTGAAAAAGAATCAGAATTTAAATTCATATTCAACTAATGCTTACAGAGCAATAAAGTTGAATTTGTTAAAACAGTGTTGAGATCTTTATAAATAAAGTTTTACTAATTCAAAGTCCTGTATGTTGTAAATAGAATTCTGATCATTGATCTGGTTCCTTGCCTTACTTCCAGTTTAGCTGCAAGTCTCGACATTATTAACATATAAAATGATTACACAGAACAAAGTTTTATTTTCTCCAAAGCAGCATCCAAGGGGGAAAATGGTTCGTGTGAGCCAGGAAAAGCAATCTTAACATACATTTTGTTAAAATTCCAGTCTGACTTTTCTAAGTAAATCTTTCAAAAATGTTTTTGGCTTTCCAGTTTTGGTAAGATCCAGGTTAACTCAAGCTTGTCAGAATTGCTTTCTTCAGAAGTAAGCAGTTAGATCAGGAAATAAACCACAAAAATTCCTTAATTACTAGTCATCTAAGTAAGGCCTTATATTTTGGCTGAAAAAAAATACACCCAAGGAAATAAATGCCTAGCAATCTTTTTCTGAGTATTTTTCCTACTAGCTAAGAAAAGCATCCTCGGAGCAAAGGGCTCAGGAGAACAGAGGGGTGACGGCTCGTCAAACTTTCCTCGCTGGGGAGCATGACCTGGCTAAATTCTGTCTCCATCAGTTCAAAGCTAGCGGGGCTGCACAGCGACTTCAGCAATATCACTTCACGGATGAGTGTGTTTTACAGTCATCTCACGTGTTTTAAAATTGAGCTGGAAAAAACTATATTGGAATGGCCTCCAGAAAAGCTAAACTAACTCCCCCATAGCATCTTAAATTATTTATCACAGCAATTTATGTAGTATTCATTTAAGATGTATAATGAATTCTTACCTCCTTACAGTCATTGGGTAGGTGCTTGATCGTGGACCATGATGGCTCACGTGTGCCCTCGGTATTGACGTAGCTGGCCAAATCTCCAGTCCTAGCCTGGATAAATCTTTTAGAGAGGTTCAGATAGTAGTCTGTGTCTAAGGACTTCATGGTCCAGACACAACCGATCATCGACAAGATCAATCAGTTAGCAAATAGAGATTTTAAATGATAAGAATAAAGTCATAATTCATTACTTCATGTGGCTCAGGAACTATGCCAAGAAGGTAAAAAATATATATGTCATCTACTTCTCACAAACCATTGCACAAGTTTAATTAAACTGATTATATAGAAGAAACAGGATTAGAGAGATTAAAGGACTTTCTAAAGAATTAGGGTTTAAATTAGAATATCTGTACATGGCAAAAGTAAAACATCAGCCCCCCTGTTAGAACCACCAAGTAGAAGTTAGCTTGCTTTTGAATTTTCTGTTTAGCAGGACCTGTTTCTTTGTGTTTTCCTTGTACAATCTGAATAGTGCCCAGTGTGGCCGTGCATGCTTGTAATCTCAGCACTTGGGAGGCCGAGGCAGGAGAATTGGCTATGTGTTCAAGGCCAACCTGGGCTGCATAGTGATCAAGGTCAGCCTCAACTACATAGAGTAGACCTCTATTGAGACCCTGTCTCAAAAAAAAAAAAACCAAAAAGTGAATAGTAATGTGCATGTGTGAAGCTTTTAGCATAGTAATTCAATTTTAGTACAGAATTTAACTTAGCATGAATTTTCAAGTGAAATTCTCATGGAATTACAGATGAACCTGGGTTTTTCTGAAGATAAATCTTCCAGGATAAAACCTACTTATTAAACACATGTCAGTAGTTGAAGCACAGAAGATAACCCTTTGCTAGGTCCAGAGGCTCTCCAGCTTCAGAAGTGCTGTATGAGGGACCCAGGGTGGTCACAGGAATTGTCTCAACCACACAGGAACCCTCTTAGTTAGAATGTGCCAGCCACAGGTAATCTAAGACAGTGGCGGTGATGGGGTACAGGTGTGATGTCCAAGTCCAGGATGCATTAACTCTGTGGTATGTGCATAATCATCCCGCTTAGACTGTGGTCCAAGTCTTTTGTGGCATTAAGACAGCCAAGGCCTTTACTTTCTCCTCCACTGAAGGTTGGTTGCAGGAAGGTAACTGTGCTAGAAGACTCATAAAGCACTGTCTTCTCTAGCTTGGTATCAACTGCTCTAACCTGGGCAGGAACTGACTGGGATGCTTTTGAAGGTTAGGATGTCAGTATCTTCCAGCCGCTCTCCTTTTTCCTCAAACTTCTCAGAGACGGGAAGTGTCTTTCCGTAGGACACAGCTTCTCTCACTTGGCTGATGATCAACAGGAAAGGGAAAACTCTCTCGCTGCTGAGGAAACCTCCTTTAAGTTTCCTCACCTCTATCCCAGTGGCACACAAGGATTTTACTGCGAGCTCTTCAGTACCACTTCTAACAAAGGTAGCTTCCTAGCTGAGTAAGAATATCTCCAACATGTAACCAAGACATTTGGTGTCAGAGCTGTGGCATATCGAAATGAAATACAGCTTATGAATAACCTGCATCCTATAAGCAGTTGTTATGCAATCTGCTGAAAGAGAGGCCCTGAGAAATGGTTTCATTTCCTAAAGCTTTCTGGTCAAGTGAATGGAGAGCTGAAAACCCCCAAGCGCTCTGCTGTCGGGATAGGTTAAGCTGTTACAGGACCACAGTGTGTTGGAAGCAGGTGCTATCTCAGCAGTCCTGCCTTGCAGCAGGTGGGCCCAGCCCCGTCTCGCTCTCTGCCACACTCTGAGGAGGGCCGAGAGAGACTACCCCGGGAGGTGACCCTGCACACAGCAGTCAGTGCCAGACTGCTTTTATTATCTTATTTGTATCTTGGGGTTCTGCATTACATTAATTGGCTTGAAGGACTTTTGCTGCTCAGAAAAAAAAAAAAACTTAGAATAAAAACTGATTTTCACTGATGATCAGTGTGACATCCTAATTTTATCAATGTGGCAACTAGAGCCCAGGATGGAGAGATGATCTGCCCCACGGTGTTCTCACCAGTAAATGACAGAGGTTTTCTGACTCCATGATTACTCTTTCTACCTGACAATGTGACCAGTCAGCTCTGCGTATACATCATCTGTCCACGTATCTCAGTCTTAAGCAACCTCCAGCCTTTATATGCACATTTGTTAGTGTTTAATGAACTTCTCTCTGTGTGGCTTTAAGCCACCAGGTCTCAGAGCCCCCCCTCCCCTTTCATGCCCTCAGCTCTTCCGCTGAAGTCTTTGGCCTCCATGATGACAGGCTGTTTGGGGAACTCCCCTCCTCAGAACTTTGAGGCGTTCATTAAGCTATTGAGTTGTACTGCTCTAAACATGGGTGTGCATGAATCATTGTAATATGATATCTTTAATTCTTTCCAGAAGATTCCTAGAAAGGGAATAGCTGGGTCAGTGGAATTTCTATTTTTTAATTTTTTAAACCTCCATACTGATTCCCATAGTGTTTGTATTAGCTTACATTCTGAAAATAAAGTAGAAGGGTTCCTTTTTCCTGCAGCCTCACCAACATTTGTTATTACTTGATTTCTCAGGAACAGCCATTCTTTCTTGAGGAAGATAGAATCTGTACTCATTTTGCAATGGCAAACAGAAACACCAAAATGACACCCAGGATTAGGAGACAGATTTATTTAATGTTGGATTGGGAACTGACAAGGAATCCATCCTTATAAAAATGTCAGGCCGTGAAGGCTCAGGGAGGGAGGTTTTATGGGGTCTGTAAAGGGGAGGTGCAGAGGTAGAATACTTAGCTGTCTTTGATTGGTTCTTACAATGTGCATCATAGTAAATCAACTATGCATCACAAAGACCAGCTGTTTCTAAGAAACCAAAGCAAGCAGAACTGCAACAAGAACTGTCACCTGGTCAACTGAAGTATACTGGCTGGGGGTGGGGGCATTTTCTACTACATTCCTCCCCTCTTTTAGTTTCCTGGAAAATCTTTGCTGGGCATGTTACATGTGATTTTCTGTGACAAGGCCCAAATAGAAGAAGTAACATTAGGGCTGTCAGTGGTCCTAGGGTGGGCCTTAGCCAAGGTCCCCAAGATTGGAAAGATTTCCCCTATTAGAGGGTCTCTCCTTAAGTTGCTTTTAGGAAGAGACATGTTTCAGGCCAGCCTGTTCTGTAACACTACTCTGGTAAGGGAGTTTGTTTGGTCAATTGTAGAATAAGGGGAAGGGCATCACTGGTTGTTTCCTATTCTAAACCACAGCTAGCAAGACAGCAGGGAGCAAACAAACATACACAAGCTGAAATGAAAGCAAGGACTTGGGTGAGCAGCCTGGAAAGGCACAAAAATCAAAGGGAATAATGCATTGAGGTGTAGAACAATCCTGTGAATGGTGTCCTCAGGCTTCATCCGTGCATGGACTGGTCAGTGTCTGGGGCCACAGAGCAGGGCTTTGAGTGCATCATCTCTTTGGAGTGAGCTTTAGAAGAGGTGTCAGTCATCTGGATGGGCTCTTTTAACTCTGGAATGGTGACTTTAAAGCTGGATATCTGAAACTTGCAGAGGTAGTTAATATGCACCTGGGTTATATGTATGTATAGGGGTGTCTACAGATATGGCTGGTCTTTTAGCTAAATTTTATGGAACTGGTTACAAACTGTTTCTGTAGGGTTATGTTTTCTTTTTTAACTTTTTAAGAGCTTTGTGGCCTATATGTTGTAAAGTCCTGCCAGTTTTGAGTTATCTCTGTTACAAACGCAGGCCTGTTGTCTCTGCCAATAGTCAAGGGTAGAAAATATCTGGAGATGATTTTTCACAGCAGGACCCTACAAAATTTTGTTGCCCTCTCAGTTGGGTAGGGAATGCCTCAGACCAGGCTGAGTAGGTGCATATAAGCACCAATAGCTATCTGTTAATCTTCATAAGGTTTTACTTTGGTGAAACCTATCTGTATGTTGGGTGGAAGTCAGGGTCTGTGACACAGATGCTGAAGCCTGAGCTGGCTGCAAGAGTACAGGTGCCAGCACTGTAATTTGATCTTGTAGAACATACAGCAGGAGCAGGTCTGGCTCTGATTAAGATGGATCTTCCAGGAGTACTGGGTAAAGTCCTTCTGGCTGACAATGTTTCAGTCAATCAGATCCCCAAAGGGAGCTTAGGCCTCTGAACTGGATTACTTTGAGTGCAGTTTTGGTGTCATTAGTGGCAGGTTTCCAAACAGCATCAAGAAGTAGTAGCCAAAAATAACTTTGTCCAAGGTAATCACAGCATATCTAACCTGTTGGACTCTATTCCTAACACAGCTACTTCCATCTGTAAATAGGATGTACTCAGCATCTGTCAGGGGGTCCATTTTTAAAGGTCTGTTTGGCTCAAGAACAGTTCGTCAGTCAGTGCCAGGTACTAGGTCCAGTACAGCATGTGGCACCTGGGCCGTTAGGTCTTAGTCTAAGGTGAGATTTTTGATCAGAAGGACAGTGGCTGTTAGAGCATGGAGGCAAAGGGGTGGGGGAGGCAGTGCTTAATGACTAGATCCAAGTATTTGCACAGGCATTGTTTTTGTGAACTCAAGGATCCATATTTTATAGAAGCCAGCAGCCCCAAGAAATTTACACAGTTTCTTTTTTATAATCAGATATTGCAGCAGAGCTTTTGTGCCTTTCCAGCACACAGCTTAGGTGTCAGTAATCAGAAGCACAGAGATATTTTGTGCTGGGAAGCTGGTGAGGTCAGCTGTGAGGGCTTTTTTAAAGAGGGTAAATAAGTTTTTGAACCTCTGAGAAGTTGAGTCCAGATCAGTTAACCTTTGAGTTCAGAAATGGAGTGTTTTTATTTAAAGGTGAGGAGGCGCCGGCTGACAGGAGCCAACTGAAGGCAGAAGAAGACATTCTTTAGGTTCAGGCAAGTTTACCAGCAGGTTGGGGGTTTCAGAAGACTGAGGTGATGGATATGCAGGGCAATCATGATGGCATTGGCAGCTTGAAGATCTTGAACTGGTTTTACAGGCAGGAGAGGTATATTGTAGCAGTTTGAGTGTCTATTATATTTTCTTGGGGGATCATGATGGCAAGC